TATTGAATTAAGCCTTATTCAAACATTTATATCAACAATTAATCATGTTTTGTCGCATAATTAAGGGCATAAAACGCACTTATCAAATCCCCCAAACTTGAACCGTTGTTTGTCCTCAAACAAAATGATGGCTTAAATCAACACAAAACATGGTTTAACAAGCATGCCATGTCTCAAGATCTGAATTCAGTAATCAGCAAAATGAACAATTTAACAGTGCAAACTCAATTCAATCTCCACCTGTCATATGTAAAACTTGATGTGTGTGTGTGAGTACTCATGCAAAACATACCAACCTGATGATGGGTGCAAATCCTAACCTGTAGTAGTCAAATTTTTTTCTTCCATCACTCGAGAGATATTCACGACCCCACACTTATTCTTTTCGCTCAACTGTTCTAGAGTGTGTTCTAGAGTAGAGATTACGATTCACTTAAGTCCTTACCCTCTCACAGTCTGGATAGATCTCACAATCACTAATTCACATGTCAACGAGCAAGGATTTTCTCATTTCTTTGATTGTTTCAATCGTTAAGACTAAAATAAGTTACTTGCTTCGTAATCGGTTCTATCAACTGAGTGTCTGGGACTAATCAAAGTGTTTCATACATCAAAGCCTGCATATTATTCATCAATGGATAGAATTTTTTTTGAACATCTTTCATTTGCTTTCCATATAACCCTTGTAACGAGTTTTAGGCTGATGACTCCCAAGTCGGATGACTATAGGGCACTATGTTTTAAACCCTTGCAGGCTTAATCACTCGAGTTATACAGGCTATAACAGATATCTTTGTTTATCCGATGATTAGTGCAATGCTCCTTTTCTTTTAGACACTCAGTTTCTAGAATCAACCTCTAACTTGAAACTTTTACCTCGTTGTCTCATTAGACTAATCCAATCCACAAAATACAATTTCACGCATGGAATCCCTACTAATTTCAATATTCCTCAGTAAAAGCTAAATCATCTCCAAACTCCTAAAGTGTTGGTTTATCAATAAGTGTAGTAGAGGTTTTCGGGGTTAACCTATCATGTTCAACTCTACTGCAATTCTTACACCACATCACTAGTTTAGCATGCCAAACACAAGTATTGTGTGCAAGAATGTCAAGTCTCCACATTCTGTTCATAGCTAGTTAAATCGTATCAGAAATTTTACAATTCATAGCTCTACTGCTTCCAATATTATCATCATTGCCGGTAAGTCCATTAAACCCACACAAGCACACAAAACATAAATACTGAAGTAAATTTTTTTGGCACACTCAAACAAGTAACAAAACAAAATGCATATGGTAATATCGATGAATAAAACTCACTGACATGAAGAAACTGCAATGCAAAAATCTTATGCGAATGCCGTAGATGGACCTACAAAATCTACCACCCCCCGAACTTAGTCTAACATTGCCCTAATGTTTAAAATGTAAGGTTAGGTAAAGAAAACAAAGAAAAAAGCTAATTTAACTGAAAAGATGGGAAAAATAGGAAATTCTCTTATCAAAAAGGAGGTGGTGATGGTAGAGGAGGAAGAACACTGGATCCAGCATCCTGAGATGGAGTCAGTCATGCAAGAATCTATCGCATCAACTCTGAATACTCTTGGAGTAGCGTGGACTATCCCCGAAGTAGCTCCAAATGCTCCTGAATAAGACCTGACTGTTGCCGCACTTCATCCTCAAGGCTGTCCAAACGATCTACTGATGCATTGGCACAGAGCTGTATATCATCTACCCAACCAATATATATACCCAATCTCCCAGTCAGTGTCTCGAGGGCCATCCTGGATATGAGGACTTCCCGACTAGTATCAGAAGCCAAAGTGTGGGTGGTGAAGGCGTCTGCCCGTACTTACTGCATGTCTGCTCATGGTCTCGAAGGCCTGCTGTAAACTTTGTATGTCTATGTTGCAGCCAATCATGGAGGCAAACATCTGCCTTAAGATATGTGTGTCGTCCCCAATAG